CCCCCCCCCCACCCCATTTGCATAGCCTCCCGGATTTGCAACGTAGTATGGGGCCTCTGTTTTCCAGCACGGCTTCTTTTTAACTGCTGGTTTTTAAATCTACACAGATTTTTAACGTTTTATTGCACAAAGCCATATAATAATGCTAAGTTTAATTTCTTGAGCATCCTCATTTATAGATGTGTGTTGTACCGTAAAACTTTTCTAACGGAGAAAGAATTCTGATTGAAAATTGATTTCTCAATTGATCTTGGTTTATTTTGGTTTGATTTTTAGATTTATCACTGTCAAATTAATTTTTTATTTTCAAAGCTGATAAAGGTTTAAATAATATTTTTTTTAGTTGAAATAGCGAACACCAAGGCAGGCAACGGTGTTAATGCTCCTCGAGTGCTAGGATTTGCCATTAAGGCAATGCTGAAGAGAAAGCAAGTCAGCTTGACATGCGACTTTACAGACACAGGGAGACAATCCAAGATGGAAACAGATGCGCTATGGTTAGTATTTGTGTTAATAATTTAGATTTTTATTTCATGAATGGATTTTGTCATGGTAAACAAATGTTTGTTAATCTGTTAGAGGAATTTTTCATTAATTTTTTTAAATGATGTCCAGTCCTAGAAGTTTTAATAGGGAGTGTTCGCTAAGAAATTAAAAGATGAAAAAACGATGTTAATTTGATCGCTACTATTATTAATTTTATCTGTTGCGGTTAAAAGGAGAAAATGGTTCAAAACGTCTTAACCCTAAAAGCATAGCTTCTATACAAATTCACTGAGTTACATCAAGACGCTAAGAAAATAATTCATTTAAATTTAAATTTAAACACTCCTAAACACAATCCGATGCTATTATATGTGATATTTAATAATATATTTTATTTGTTATATATATACAATGTACTTCAAAATGTAACGATTTTTTTTTGGTCGTGAGGTATCTCCACTTGGAACCCCTGAAACATCAAAAGCAGAGACACCCAGGGGCCAAATAATCGTTGATAAAATATATGGTATATTAAACAAATAAAAAATATTGTGAAACATCAACAATTTACGAATGCATTGAATTGAGTTCGACTTAGCAGAATAATATAAACTGCAGCTTGTGCTTTATATTTTCATTGATAATGCGGGATAAGAAGGTAGGGATTGGAAGGGATGGGATGGATGGGATAGGAAGGGAGGGATTGGAAAGAAGGGGTGGGATGGGAGGGATAGGATGGTAGGTATGAAATGGTAAGGGGAGGACAGGCTGGGATGGGAGTAACGTAATGGGAAAGGAAAAGAAGGGAAGTGAAGGGAGGGAATGGAATGGGAGAACAGGATAGGATGGGAGAGATGGTAAGTGAGGGACGGTATGGAAAGGCAGGGAAACATGATTTAAGTGAATGTACTGAAGAAAATGAATTATTTCTGTACGGTAAATTTAATACTTGGTATAAATTTTATAAAACCTAGTTCTTGAAGATAACAGGAGCCTATACACCAATTTGTCGAGACTTCAAACTTTTTTTTCTGGGGGTATGGTGTCACTAATCCAGGGGAAGGGGACTGAGAAATGTTATGAAAAGGGGATGGGGGGGGGGTTAATTGCCCCCCCCCACCTCATTTTAGGCCTTCAAGTGTAAAGATATTTAAACTACAAACAAGGTGTTTTCTACGTTTAAATATATTTATAGTTACTTTTAATAGAAAATTATAAACTTTGCTATGTTCCGGAGAGGACGGTTTTGGGCATTTTAAAATCCCGTGTTGACGAAGCGGTCGATATCGACAGCTGTTCCTATTTCTAAAACTATGCATTGTATAAAGAAATGAATATTTCTGTTCCCAAAGGAACATTTCTAAAAAAAATTAGGAAATTTGAAAAAAAATATTTTGAAAAATATGTAGTTCGGACATAGACGGTTATTATTTTTTAAATTTACAAGCAGGAGTGTATATTAGTCATGAGTCTCACATTCTCCCCCCAGTGTCCAACTAATTTTTTAAAGCTTAAACTGTGAAATGGTGCATTTGTTAGTGTTATGCATCACGGGGAAACTTTTAAGACGTTTGCTTACAAGAACTTTTGTATTTTAGTGTATAATAAAGCGTTTTGGTGCCCATAAATGGTCAATAACCAGGGCCATTAGATATTTTATGAATTTTTTTTTGTCTTCATGTTAACTTCCGTATGATCAATCTCATTTAATTGTCTATATTAAATTAGGGACATGTTTGAAAATACCCCCTTTCCCACCCCAACCGCCCATTACAATTTTGCAGAAGAAACAAAAATAATTTTGTCAGGCTGTTAAAATGTTTCAATAGTTTTGTTTAAAGATGTCGGTAGGATAAGTAGTAGATCAATTATTTTGATAAAAAATAATTTTTATAATTTTCGTTTTATTTTTACAGGACTCTTATCAGTTTCATGGAAAATGAGTGCCTGGAAAGCATTAAGGACATAGATTCTAACTCCATCTCAAAGGCCCAATTCAGAAGATCTATTGAAGTTGCCTGCGCTTTTCTACTAATCTATAACTTCAGGTATTTAATATTTTCATTTCCGACCCTTATTTAGATAGATAGATTTAAGGGGATGGTGGAGAATCTGAAGATGTCCTATTTGATGTAGGGGCCTCCCCCTACATCAAATAGGACATGGGGGGGTCCCTGCCTTTATTTTTGGTTCAAATTTTTGGCTGCACGCCTAATTAATGATCTATTTTCCTATAATAAAAAAATTAACACTGATTACCTTTAATGACCTTGACAATTAGAATTTATTTAAACTGGCTTTATGCATATCAAAAGAAAGTTAAGAACCCAGGTAATACAGTAGCAGCAACAAATTTGATGTTAGTTAAAGTTACCTCAAACTACCTCTAATGACATCCAAAATTAAATTGTTTCAACTGTGGGTTTTTAGCATATCAAAAGTAAGCTAAAAACCCAGGTAAAAGAGTAGAAACAAATTCTGTGTTTGACCTTCAAATGACTTCTAATGTCCTTCAAAGTGAAAGTTATAATTATGGCTTTATGCAGCCGCAAATTCGGTGATTGCCCTTTGAGTTTGAAGTAAAGACTCAATTCCTTCCCCACGTTTAAATTATTTAAAAGATTTATGCTGTAGTGCACAATAAGTATTAACCACAAGAATAAGTTGGCCCGACTATTTTTCAGTCCAGGGAAATAATTTTCTTTAAAATAGATGTAACTATACAGAAAAATTAGTGCTTCTTCTTCTATATTTTTTTAACCATTTGTGTGACCCTGGTCGTTTGACCCTATGTCTAAAAATGTCTAACATATTTTTACCAGGGGGTGGAAACGTCTTGGTGTGTTTGTGCATCAAAAGAGTGCGATTCTGTTAAGGCTTATATAAGGAACCAAATATATTCTAAATATCTGTCAAAAGAATATGGGGGGGGGGGGGGA